CTAACTACTAACTACTAACCTACTAACTATTCTATCTTTCTATATTCGGGATTGTACAATTCATCTTTAAAACATTTCAAGGTTATACTCAATTTACAATATTGCTGCCGGTAGCCGTTGGCTTGGTTTCATAGGCATCATGGAAACCTCTAATAATAGTATCGCAGACGCGGTGCGACCGTTGCCGAAAGACATGTCTCACCATTTTTCGGATGTAACAAAGGCTAGAGCCCCAAGTAGAATGAAGGAATTCTATAAGTACTTCCTAATACCGAATATTGGACAACTAGCAGGTGGTACGAAACGCCTTTTGAACGCCTCAAACGCCTATCGTCTTTACCTTACCTTTATCAACGAAAGTCTGCCGATCTTTAGGGCTAACTGTTGAACTTTATAATAATAGGTCTTCCTAGCGCCAGCCTCTTCCCCTTCGATACTTTAGAAGCCCAGACCGCGAGACCCGATCGATGGACTCCGACGCCAAACTATCCAGACCCCGATGGCACGTTGTCTTCCCGATTAGCCGCGACGTCCATCTCAAATCCGACCGTAGCATCTCATGTTGTCGTACCTCACGATGCCCCGACTTCAGACCCAAGGAAGAAGATAGATCTCGCCACCGCCTTGCAGTACGGCCAAGCTGATGGATATCCGCCGCTACTTTCCTTCGTCCGTGAATTCACCCGGGACTATTTACATCCAAACGTGCCTTATAAGGGCGGGCCAGAGGTTATCTTTACGGTCGGTTCAACCGATGGCATGTCCAAGACGTTGGAGGTATTCAGCAATGTTTGGGTAGAAGGGAAGAACGACATTCGGGAACGACCGGGCTTGTTATGCGAGGTCTTCATGTACGCCAACGTACTCACACAAGCACAACCCCGGGGAATCCAACCCGTACCTATCGAGATGGATGATGGGGGTATGCTGCCGTATGGTCCTGGAAGTTTGGAGGATGTCCTTGCGAACTGGGATCACAGCAAGGGCAAGCGGCCACACTTGCTGTATACTGTAACGTAAGTTCTCCCGTGTCCTCTAAATTGCGATTATAAACCTACTCCGGAAGATGCGCATCATACTAAACGTAACCCTACAGGATGGGTCATAACCCAACAAGCGGTGTCTTATCCCTCGAGAGGAGGAAGGAATTATACTCGATCTGCAGCAAATACGACGTCATTATCATCGAGGACGACCCCTATTGGTATCTCCAGTACCCTTCGGCAGCAGTCGAGGAGGCGAAAGCGAGAAATTTACCGATCCCCGAACCTAAAATCGCGAATACCCTCGAAAAGAAGTCCGGCTATGAGTACTTGGATTCTCTCGCGCCATCATTCCTTAGTATCGATGTAGACGGACGAGTTGTGAGGTTGGATACCTTCTCCAAGACCGTGGCTCCGGGATGCCGAATGGGATGGATTACCTCGAGCCCGTCAATCTGCGAGCGTATTCTTCGTGTCAGCGAGACGGGCACGCAGCAGCCGTCCGGTTTCGCCCAAGTCGTTATCGCCGAGACTATCATGGGACCGCAGCCCGAGGCATCGGCGGCATTCGCAGCTCGATCCGCGAAGGATCGGGCTACGTTTAGCGGCTGGAAAATGGAGGGCTGGGTGCGATGGCTCGCTGGATTGCGAGGCCAGTACGAGAGGCGCATGAACCGGATGTCCAAGATCCTCGAGGAGCACGCGTACCAGCTCAAGCAGTCGACGCCGATGCGCGGATCGGATTCGGACTGGGGTGTCATCACCAAGACCCAATTGTACGACTTCAAGTGGCCGCGCGGCGGCATGTTCCTCTGGCTGCACATGCGGTTCGAGACGCACCCGCTCTGGAAGGCGGCCGGGTCCCGCGGCAACCTGATCGACGGCGTCGCGCTGTCGACCGCCCTCATGATCTTCCTCACCCGCAAGCCCTACCTCGTCCTCGTCAGCCCGGGCCTCATGTTCAGCGCTACCGACAAGATCCGCCGCGAGCGCGGCTGGGCCTACTACCGCCTGTGCTTCGCCGCCGAGTCCGAGGAGAACGTCGACAGCTGCTCCCTGCGCTTCGGCGAGGGCGTTCAGCGGTTCTGGCGGATTAAGAACGTTAAAGAACTTGAGGCGCTGCTGGATGATGATGCGCAGTCGCAGTCGCAGTCGCAGTCGCAGAGGCGAACCCAGGATGACGACGGGGCGCAGTTGGTGAATCTGGGGAGCTGGATGGGATGTTAGGTTGAGGGGCTTGGGGATTTGACACGGGATTATATTGGAATGTCTTATATGAGATGATATGAGATGACATGAGGGGGGAGGCCTGAGCGAATGATAGTATGAAACATATATGTACCTATGTATATGTTTGCGAGGCCGGGCTATAGATATAACCTATCATTTGATAACTAGGTAGTTACATATTTTACTTTTGTTTTTTTTTGTAAATAGAAGAAGTATCAATACGAAACGGAAATAACTTCTAATTTTACTTTATGGGAATAACCGTATACGTTAAGGGTTCTGATTATATAAGGTTGATGAGTTTGAATTAGGGTCTCACGTAGTATGTAGGTACCTTACAACCTGAATGTGGGGTTACATACAATGGCATTATGTGAAAGGGGGAATTAACTACAGTAAGACGACTACGCAGAACCTAGTTGATTAAAAGGCATAATTACAGCACACAAATTCATAGAGCATTCAAGCTTGCTAGACTAAACCCTCGAGGAGTTTGCTACAATGCATAGACAATCACCGGTGAGATAAGAAATGGCGATCAGAATAAGAATGTCATTGATTTGATTCATCAGACCCTATGATCCAGTACGCCGTGACTATTGCAACCGATTTACCGTTCCCGCTTCCCCCTAGACTACGCTGCTCACCAAGCTAGTCTAATCTAATTCTCACGGAGGAGCTCAAGGAAAGCCTTGGGGGGCTTAGGGGGCTTGCCAGCCTCCGCCTTTTGCTGACCAACTTGGTTCTTCACGAAGGTGGAGTGGTAAGGGTTGAAGCGCAGCAAGACTTGCTTGTTGCGTAGAGGGTTCTTCTGCACGGCAGCGCGCTTGGTCAGAGGACCACCCTTGGGAGCGTTGAGGACGCTCTGGATTTCGGAGCTGTTGATCAGACGGCTCAGGTCGGACTGGGAGACCAGGTTGGAAGGTAGTAGGAAGTCCTTCTTAAGCTCGGAGGGCTTGGTGGTGGTGCCGTAGATCTTATCGAGGGCCTTGAAAGCAGCCGAGGTCCAGACGATGAATCGTCCAAGGTGACCACCAGGGGCGAGCTGGAGGAGGTTCAGGGCGTAGACGGAGCTGGTCTCGACACCAGGGAGGTTGCGAGTACCAGTGACAAGCTCCTTACCATCAACCTCGGGGTCGTAAATGACCAGAGGTCCACGGCGCTGGCGGTGGCGGCGGCCTCTTAGCTTACCCTTACCAGCACGTAGCTTCTTCGACTTCTTAGCCTTCTCGATGTCGGCAGCGGCACCAACGGCGTTCAGGATAGCGAGAGCACTGGCAGTCTTGGCAGCAGCACCGCCCTCGAAGGCAGCCGAGTCAACGACGAGGGGAACTTCCGGGACGGAAGAGATCTGGTGACCGCGGGCGAGTAGTAGAGGGGGGACGGCAGAAGCGGCAAGGGCAGAGGCAGTAGCGAATCGCCTTTTCGAGAGTTAGTTGGTAAACTTAAAGGATAATCAAATTTGTATAGTGATACTCACTTCTGGCCCTGGTTGATCTTGATGTGCCACTTTCGCCAGATCTTGGTGGGAGCGAACATGCGACCGGAACGGCACATGTTACCGAAGGCGGCCTGACCAGCACGGTGGGTACCACCACCAGAGACACGGGGGATACGGGCAACGGCACGACCTATGAGAAAAGTTGTTAGTAAAGTTGACAATTATTATGATATCCAACCCAAATCCTGACGTAGAGAATGATCGATCCACCGCAGAGATTTTTGAACCTCTCCTCTTTCCTACACCCTAGGTAAAAACAGGAGACAAAAAAAAGTACTGACCAGTTCCCCAAGATTCGGCAGAGGTTTGGTGACCGGCCTTCTCGCTCACAGCATAGGGCTGTCGCTTGTTCTTGGCCATTCCAGTGTGGACTTGCTGGACAATATCAGGTCGGATGGGGGAGGCAAACACGGTAGGAATGGTATGGGTAGCTCCCGAGGGAGAACCATCCTTGCCGATGATGGTGACAGTCGGTCGAGAGGCCATCGTGAAGGTCGTAATGCTAAAATGAGTGGTCTGGTTAGTCAATTGCGGTCATGAAAGTTGAATTAAACTCGAATTTCAAAGTAGTAACAGAATGAAAATAGAGGAAGACTAACTTGCGCGGAACTTACCTCGACGCTGGGTGTTGATGGTCTCAGGTTGCGATTTGGTGATGTTGAACTGCGAAAAATCAAAAAGCCTACCTCTAAATTATTTTTCTTGTGGGTTTGCGCGAGGGCTAAGCGAATTTTCGGGGGATTACTCCACTTTTCCACCCATTACATCTTATAAATGCATTATGCATCTAAATAGTTAAGACAAACTCAGACTACCCCGCTATCTGCACTGTGTCACTGTACGGATTACATCTGAGCTCTAGGCTGGCAGTTAATGAAAATGACTTCTAGTTTGATACTTCGAGACGATACTTCGTATAATTTTCAAGATGCTATGTCGAATATCCGATCAAGATATTATACTGTAATATTTTTCGTAATTACTTCATATGTGTAGGTATAATCTTACTTGAGATTGGTATGCAGATAACCTTCTAACTTTTTGGCATCTTGATAAGACCTGTAGTTAGGTATATACTTACTTACGACCACCTAGAAAATATTTAGGTATACAGGCACCTAGTCAGTCACCATACGTCAAGCGACGATAGGTTGCTCACCCGAAGTTTCTCCATCTGTGTGCTAATAAGTTTCCGATGGGGATATCTCTGAGATAGGAGAACAAAAAAAGAAATCGAGCAACGTCCGCGAAAAAATATTACATCTCAGAATGGCAGCAAAAGTAAACTCCGAATCGGGGAATCGAACCCCGGGCTTGACGGTTCCTAAGATGGTGAAACCTTGAGAGCGTCAAATGTTAGCCACTACACCAATTCGGATTGCTGAGCAAAAGGTCCAAAAGTTTAACTTATATCCAAAGTTTTTTAACGGCAAAATTGCGGTTCTCCAACTCAGCTGCTATTATGTAATTCCTACGTCACGCATTTCTATATCGGGATGGGCATTCAAAGCCTTCCCTCACAACTTTTATTTGAGGTTTAGATATCATATGAGTTTGGTGCTTAATGGATAAAGCGTCGAAACAAAAGTACTTCATCACCAGAATTTACATCAAATATATCATGAAATACTCAAATGTTTATATAGACTGCCTCGGGGTTTTCCCTACGACGATGGAAAACAACGGTCTGAGCAGCTAGTCGATCATCGTAAGCATGGTATAGGTAATAGCCTCGCCTCTAACAACAGAGATGGTCTCAGATATCTAATCACACTATTATAAAAGCTAAACTAATTGAGTTTACATAACATATCTTACGTGTTCAAATCATGAGAGCTTCTTGCATTTTATTACGGTAACAAACTTAAAGGTAGATTGCTCTCTAAATGTGGTTTATAAGAGTCATGAGGACGTGTTACCTAAAATTATCGTATCTAACTCACGGTGGCTTGAAATAAGCGCATCGCCTGACTCTACGCGTATGATAATTAGAGAAGCTGAGTATAAGGCCGTTAACTAATGCAATGGTAGCAAACTTGCTTCAAGTTCACGGATAAGAGCGTGGGGTACCGTCGCGATACGATTTCCCTACTTGGATAATAAAAGCCTATGCAAACCACGCCTATCGTATCGTATCATATATCATAAATATCTCGTATGAGGAGCATTCAGCTTTATTGTTGGAGTGAGTTGTTGGAGCGAGTTGTTTGCGTTGATCAGACGATAATGTGCAACTCTGTAAGACAGCCAAAGAAAGTTATAAGTTCAAATAGCGCCGAGTTGGAGTCGCCTACCTACAACCTGACCTTAGTAGTACATATGTGGTGGGGTACGTACCTACACTACAGGCCCCTGAAGTCCCAAGATTCAGGTTAGGGATCCCAGAGCTTACATATGTACCTAAGCTTTCCCGAGCCGCCGATGAGCCGCTGCTGATCCTCGTCGCGAACCATTCATTTTCTGAAGAAGGCCCGCTTTATGCACGTGGGCTTCAGTGTCAGGCCCAAAGGAGAAATATGTATACCTTCTTATTTCTTCCACATTCAATAGCGCTAAAGCTAGATGTGTTATACATTATAATGGTGAGGTTTAGGTCCTATTATTAGCAACTAGAAAACAAGATACCTCTTCGGAATCATGGAGTCCTTGGACACTTGCACCTTTCATCCGTCCCAAACCGGTAAGATACAATGATACATAACCTCGCCGACATCATGCACGTACTATGACGAGACACTTTGCGCAGACTAGATCCCAGCTCCTGGTTCCTCCCTAAGTATGAGGTCCCAACAGCCCGGTCAGCACCATTAGGGCTGGTATATATATGAATCGTTATATACGTCGTATGACACCCGTCCATGTTTGCCTGGGTAGTGCCGAGGGCCTCTAGGTTGGATGCATTACGAGTAGGGTGCTGTCAAACTTGTCTTTTTACATACTAAACTCAACTATAGCTAATTAGAAGTATCGCGCATCCGAGTCAGACTACCTGCCGTCTACAGGTTGCTACCTATTCATACTAATACGGAAGGTTCCCCGTCTTGGTGGCTTACGAAAATGAATTCAGCTATTCTAGAGTGGTTGATTAAACGCGGAACTGGTCGAATGACTCCTCAGCCTCTGACCAACAGGAATAGCCACATAGACGTAGGTAGTAGCGTATGGGCCCCTCCACTAACGTCTCAATGGTGATACTTGACATACGTCCGCAGGGCTCTTTCTATTCCTTAAGGCTCTCGCGTGCCTGAGTGTCATTAGTTATGTGAAACGTTCGCTCGATGTTTCCTAGACACTTAAGCTTCTATAGCCCTAATTTTAATTATTAGCTTTGAAGGATCTACGCGTCGGTTGCGTTTTTGTCTTGTTTGTAAACGTACATGTTGGTCTAGTTGTTTAACTAGGTAGCTGACAAGTTGCAATTATCGCCCGGAACGTTACGGACCAATACGCTTTTGTCCGGTATCCGAAGTTGCATTGCATTGTGCATCACTACAAGGTCTCGTATTGTGTGGCTGCAGGGGAGTTGCAGCTGTCAGTCTCGGCGGCTCGCCCTCCTATCTCGCGGAAACTACCCAAAGATTACTATAGTTAGTCATGAGACGATAGTCAAGTCGACAGCAAATAATCATAATATAAGTGCTCGGATATCACCTATATTAGTACCGTCTCTCGCCATGGATATCGGCCTCGACGTCTCCGATATCTCTCCTTATATCGACCCGGATGCCTATCGGCTGAGACAACGTCGTCTTCCGGAGACAGTCTTATTAGGGAACCTCTTTTTCACTCCACTATTCGACAATTCATACATTTATTGTTGATGCTTCATGAAGGCTTCATCTTCAACTATCATGTATCGGAGTGTTATGATTTGGCGGATGGTGTGGTTGTGCGTCCTCGCAACAGCTGAACCCACCTGGCCATCTTCCAACGATGAACTTGAAGAAATTATGTATCAAGTCAAAGGATACAGAGCCAGAAACTTTGGTGGAACTGTTATCCCGTGCTCTAATGAAGCATCCGGACGCGGTCGACAGAATGCTGCGGAATGGCTGCGGGCGGCCTTTCATGATATGGCTACAACTACACACCTCAGTGGCATACGAGCTGGCGGCTTAGATGGCTCCTTGCAGTACGAGCTGACTAGCTCAGATAATATCGGCCCAGGCTTCAACACAACTCTCAAGTTCATGGCCGACTATTATACAAGTCGATCGAGTGTGGCAGATCTCATTGCACTAGGCGTATACTACGCTGTCAGGTCTTGCGGTGGTCCGGTGGTGCCAGTTGCAGGTGGAAGAGTCGATGCTCTTGCAGCTGGTCCCATAGGTGTTCCGCTACCACAGAACACTGCTTTCACATTCGAGCAGCAGTTTTCACGAATGGGGTTTAGCAAGACCGAGATGATTCAAGTTACGGCCTGTGGCCATTCCATTGGCGGTGTTCATGAGAGCGAATTTCCTGCAATTGTTCCCGTCGGGTCTACTCCAAATGGTGAAGCTCCTTTGGACTCAACTGTTGCACAATTCGATAACAAGGTTGTCACGGAATACGTTGCTGGTAATACTACTAATCCGCTGGTGGTTGGTCCATCAGTCAAAGCCACCAGGAACTCGGATTACAAGGTATTTAACTACGATGGCAACGTGACGGTCAAAGCAATGGCTGGTGCCGCTGAGTTCAGTAATGTATGTGCGACTGTTCTTCAGAAGTTGATTGACACCGTGCCCGACGGAGTTGTTTTATCTGATCCTATCAAACCATATTCTGTAAAGCCAGTTGATATGCAGTTGAGTCTTAACTCCGACTCCTCAACAATGCAATTGACTGGATTCATACGTGTTCGGATTACTGAAATAGGGACAGGCTCTGTATCTAGCTTGACACTGAACTATAAGGATCGAAGCGGGGGCAACAACTGCGGCAACACGAGTTGCGCATACACGACAACTCTCCTGGGTTCCACCCAGGGATTCGATGATCAGTTTATTGTAAGTATTTCACACAACGGATTTTTATATCCCTAACCTAGGTCTAACATAAGCTAGTGGTTTCCTATCAATACCGCTATTCCAACTTCCACGGGAATATCATCTTTCACTATTACCCTTAACATGGCTGACGGTACCACTAAAATGTACGATAACAATGGAAACGCATATGCAATGCAAGATGCCATCTTCATTCAAAACCCCCAAAGCTGCCTGCTTTCCGGCACTCTCACCGTAACTGCAGCTGTAAGTCAACTTCCATACACTTGGCTTTGGGTGATTACTGATTTGTCACAGGTTCGCAACGATCGTAAATCACTTCCTGTCGATATGTTTATCTCGTACAAAACCCCAACGGGGGATCCCAACCGTCCAATTCCCACCCTTAAAAACGCCACAACTACTATGACGGAAGGCACCTGTATAGGCTCATATACCTTCTATACGGCGAATTATACTGGCCTTGGCGAACTTGCTTATGCATCAAAGATCGATGTCGTAAGCGGCAGCGGTTCGTCTGTTCTTATAGACGGGTTTAACGCTGCGAGCGAATTGGAAGCAACATGTAAATCCTTTCAGAACCCACCAGCTTCTGCATGTATCAATGCATAGGTCTTAGCATCCCCTGGACCGCCAACTACCTTGTCTATTTCCGTTACATTGCCCATCATGTAACAAAGAAGGAGCCAACGGGGGAAACACCGTAGGAATTTATATTTATGATGAATATGTATGGCTTAACGATGAGATTACTGGATGAATAGATGATTACTTCGTATATAAAGAGCATCGTGAGTAGACGGTGGTGTATTGTAAGTAGTCGTCTAACGCGATGAGACATGAGAACCAATGTCAAGGAATATTATCTGATAGTTAACATGGACCTAACTATGTGAAAGTGTCTGAATTTCGGAAGCATTAAGATTGATTTGAAATGGACTCAATATTGGCTTGGTACTAGAATGATATAAAATAAGTCACCATTAAACATGAATTGCGTTTGCTGAAGAGACGATGCTAGGTAGTAGGTGTACTTAGGTACTTCGTACGTCTCTAACGTGGATACCCTTGGCTGATTTGAGTGGTGGGTTGTGGCACGTCATTAGCGTAAAATTCCAATGGCCGGAATGGTTTTTTTAATGCAAGGCTGCAGGTGATGAAAGTACAGTGCATAATTCATATGCACAGTGACCGCTAAATTCGCAAATACTGACAGCCGCAGCTCCTGCGGACATCCAACTTGGACCATTCCATGCGAATGGATCTTTGGGTTCAGTTGCATGTAGGGAAGGCGTGGATCACGAATCATATGCGCAGATACGTACTAATAATACCCCCACCACCCTTAGGTACATACTTTTCTGGAGTTTAAGAGTTTACATACAAT